GAAAATATTTTTTTATTACGATATGCATTCTAGAATGGAAGTTAAACAAGCTAATAATTTACAAAATTAGATTGCGTCATGAATTCATTATAATTTTCCACTTTTTCAGTCTTTTCTGAGCTACACTAGGAGTTAAAGGAATGTTCATCATTATTATGGCTGGAGAACCTTATTCTTTACACATTCAAATAAGAGTTTAAATTTTCATTGTTCATTTAATTAAAGGACTTTCTGATAACCCATATTTTTTTGCAAACAATGGTTTTTGCCTAATTTTTAATAAATAATACACTCAATAAGCACCTTTTAACATTAAGCAGATATTATTAAAAAGTATCATAGACAATTCATTTCTTGTCTGTGCAGCAATAAGTTAATTATTTTCAATTATGTCTGCCACAAAATATTCAGAAATACTGGGCAAGAGAAATCCAATTAAAATTCCACAATTGCAGCAGCCGGCAAAAACGAGGCTAAAGAGCTAAGAATTTGGGCCATTCCCCAACTAACCACGAAAATTCTAACCCTTTTCTATAACTGCCGTCCATATAAAGTTGAAAAGCTCTAATAAGTTGAAATTCTGCGGCGGAATAAAGCGGAGCGGAAAATAGGACGCGATCTGTTCGCAAGTCACGAATGTTTCCTGCCCAGGCTACTTTTTGTTTCAAACTTTCTTTCGTTCTCTTTTTGCCCTTAAAGTGGCGGAGCACGACGGACCCCTGTCACTTGCAGTTTGCGCCGTTGACGTGTCAGCCAGATTGGAAATAATATTCTGCTTTTGGTTGGCGTGCCAAGAAGGTCAAGCAGTCGACGCGAATGATTCTAATTGAAACTTTTGTTGCGACGCCAAAGGTGATTTCCCTTTTTTTTATTATATTCTTCGGTTGACTTTCGCAAACACAGTCGGATACAAAACGACACTGGTTAAAAGCTTTCCGCTCCAATCTCAACTTTTAATAATACCTCTTTGTTGGGAACTTTCCGCTTTGATTTGCGCAGCGAAACGTATGCGGTCTTGATCTGCTTGGCTCTGATACGAATTTAGAACTGGCACAAAGGAGAAAAAGCAGGAATGAAGAAGACGCAATAAAGAGGATTTTGGAAGAAGGTCAATTGAATAAAAAAATAAAGTGTTTTCTGAAGAAGTCTAACAATTGCATGGAACTTTATTATAAAGTTTAAATTTCGATTATTTGCTCTTTGCTGACTTTTATGAAAAAGTAAAATCCTTTTACGCTGCTTTTATTGTTTTAGTGTTGAATGATGAACAAGGCATCATCCTTGAAAAGGTTTTGTACAAGCAGCTTGACTTTTTTTGTCGTTCTTTATCTATAATTATGAAGTTTAGTCTTTTTTAATGATTCCGTTTTTATTTTTAGGGGATCCAGTTCTGTTAATATTTTAATTCCCTTCAAAAATAATATCATCTAGAGTCCCCTTTTTCTTGTAATTTTCTGCTGGAGTGCCACTTTGTTAAAAATAACGATTTGCTCTATAACTTACTTAGCATTAATGGTTTTTAGTCTAGTAAAACTATAATTATTCAATATTATTTATTATAATAAAACTTACAACTGACTAACAAAAATTAATAAATTCTCTACCTATATTGTGTTCAAAAATATATGTTTAAAGTCATTGTTCATACAAGATATAAATGACAATACAAGTTACTTTCAAATTTTTTGTTTATCATTTCAAATTTCTAGAAGATTCAGATATTGCATTGAATTGAACATCAGGTGTTTTTTCCTAAATAATTAGTTTAATCCTCATTTTGTAATATTTTTTAAATTGTCAATGACATGTGATGAAAAACTTCTAATCAATCATTCCTTTTCATGTTTCCTCCTACTTAAAAATGATAATTTTCCTATTAATTTGAGTTTTTCCTTCAAAAATCTGAAATTTTTATATTATTAAATAAAAATTTCAGTTACTTTATTTTTTTATTGACAATAAGCATAAGGACATTCTGCCGACTGTTGGCTTCTCTCGAGCCAGATTTACGGTGTTGGCTCTCACATTTGAATCCGTTCCAGCGGCGCGCCGTTTTTTTTTCCTTCTTTTTTGTCATAATGGCACACCCGGGGAAAAATTTATATTGTTATTCCTCTTAGGAGCGCTCAGCAGCGGGTTGAAATTGCCAGGCAAAGTGCTGTGTCACCCTTATTTTCAAACCTGCGCGCGCCTCTCTTTTTTTTTATTGCGGAAAAAGGAGTCTATCAGAAAATATGAAACGTGATGTCATTTCGCGACAAGATGAATTCTTCTTCGTTCTCTCCCTTTTCGAGTTCCGAGACTGCCATTTATATGTATCTCGGCATCGGCGACGACGCTCCCTTTCTCGCAGCGGAAAAGTCGAAGAGTATTTTCGTCTTTGTTCTGTGTGTATATCCAGTCGGGATATTTTAATATAAGTTTAAATCCCGCTCCCCAACTCCTCTTCCAACAGTTCAGTTCTTTGAAGAGGGTCTTTAATGCAAATGCAGGAAGAGTGCTCCAAGTAAGCCTCTCTGTTTTATAAACTGAGACCTAAATTTTACTGAATTTTAAATTTTGGGGGCGAATGGGGAATTTTCCATAGCAAAATTTTTCATAATATATTATGGGAGGGATTTTCCAAAAAATTAGGCTAAAACTGAGACTTTAAACAATGAAAAAATAAATAGGTAAATTTGTTAAATATAGACCAGACTAGCACTTGAAAAAAAAAAATTAAGAAGATTGTTAATTTTTGCCCAAAACGTTTGATACATCAACGCATTTTTGAGAATAATCAAGAATAATGTTATTCTGGGATTAAAAAAATTGCAACAAAAATAAGTCAATAACTTTTGTATGAATTATTATTTGGACTACCAGTACAAAAGCTAAATTGTTTAAATCTCATTTTAATATTAATATAGAAATTGAAACTTCTCTATCTAAAAAGACAAACGCTATTAAACTTTTTCATCAGAAATTACTTTATTTTAGGCGTTTACTCCAAGATTTTAACCAAATCTTTTCTAAGAAAAAAAAAAATACATTTTTTTCTCTTTTTTAAACATAGAAAAACAAATGTTATGATAATAAGTTGTATAAATTTTTGCATAGAACAACAAAAAGTAGTGTTGGTTTTACAAAAGTCAACACAAAAACCAAACGGCTCTAGAATTTAATATCAACCTAGCCCGTAATAATGGAAAAGCCTTCACATAAATATTTGTTTAGGGCTCAAAGGAGTAAAACGTTTTTAAGCCCCAAAAGTTTCTTTCATCTCGAAAACTTTTTGCATGCATACTTAATTAAAATTCGCGTGCAAAAAGAGACTAACGAGTCGGAAAGAAATTGTTTTGAGAGGTTTTTCTTCGAAAGGTCCAATTAAAATTCAACTCTCGCGCCCTCGGCTCGTTAAAAGAGCGTGTAATTCGAGAGAGCGTGGGCGGTTAAAAGAAGCCTCCCCCCTCGCAGGTCCAGTTAGCTGCTGGTACGGCTGACAGCTTAGGCCGATGTAATGAGATTTTAGGGCTCCCTACTAATATGTAGCAAAGCGAGAGCGAAAACGCGAGCGAGCACGGATTTCGCTCTTTCCAAACGCTTCCATAAATTCTCATTTGGCCTAAACCACTTCAGCGCGGCCAACAAACTCTCTCTCCGGCGTCTGGCCCCTTTTCCTCTTTTCCTTTTGCACGGGAACTCTCTTTCCAAAGAAAGTGTGTGTAATGGCGTCCTGGTATAGGTGTGTCCGTCGTAAATCAAAAACCTAATTCACTTTAATGTCAAATAAATTTCGGTTTGCGCATAACTTAATTTCCAACGCCGTCTGGCATCATAAGGCTGGGGTTGGACCGACTGGTAATGCGAGTTACTGCTCCGAATTTCCTTTTTGAGAGAGAGCCATTCCTATAACATGGAAAATGACTCTTTTAAACTTAAAGGAGAAAATTATTAAAGTAAAAATTATTATCCACTCTTTATTTTCTTTAAGCCAAACCCAAATTTTTCACTAAAAAAAAAAGAAATTTTAGGCTATTTCGCAAATAATTATTTGTATTTTGAGAAAGATCAAAATTAATTTTAGGAAATTCTAAAAAAAAAATAGTATTCGAGCTTAATTTAAGTTCAGCATAAATGTCGTTGACAAATTAAAATATTTAATAGGGTAATAAATCTTCACTGCAGTATCACTTGAAATATTTCTTTTATGATTATTATTTTGAAAGCGTCTATACAGCCGCGTTTGCCATTTTACAGCCTTTGCATGGAAACATGACAACACGTTCAATTAAAAATGAATGATTCGTACTTATGATTGTGAGGCATTGACGTCATTGCCTTTCTTTCAAAGGAAAAAACTCAATGGTTTATTTGGTTTACGTGGAAGCTAAAAATAGACGCTTTTTATGGCAAAACCTGTTGCCTCTAATTAATTCGCAATGATACTCCACATTTGAATAACACAATCATACAAGCAGGTTTTCATTAATTATTTGTTCCGAATAAAAAAATTTAAATATTATATTTTAATGATTTTCCATTTCACTCTTCATGACTAATTTTAACTTCAAAACAAACTTTTAGCATTCAATCTTATTTTTATATTATACACACTAATTTTGGAATTAAATTGTAGGGAGTTCAACTGCATTAATATGGTGTAAATTTTCCACTTTAAATTAAACCGCTTTTTCGTTAAAGTAAAAAGACTTTAAGTATGCAAAACTTTTAATCATTAAAGAGGGAGTTTAATTCTCGAACAAATTAAAATTATTTAAGAAACCAAGATTTAATACTTGATGTCTGATAATACCTTGCTAAGACTGCAAAATTAAATCATTATAAAGCAAAATTTTTAATTACAAAAAAATAAAAATAAAATAAAAAGAGAATCACTAATTGTATATCGGTCTCCACTTTGAGAAAATTTTCCCTGTAAATATTCTCATTTTTTATTCTTCATTTATTTTGCAAATTTGCTTTCAATTTTACTAAATAGAAATGTTGTTTTGCTGCAGGTCACTCTGGGCTGACGTCTCACTCGCTGCGGCACCACGGGTCACCGCACGCGACCCCCAGCGACGCGGACAACCGGCCTGAGCTGGTGGTGCGGCTGCACGAGGAGGTCGTCCTGGCGTGCGACTCGAACCGCGTGCTCGCCTGGAAGCACAACGGCAAAAGTGTGCAGCACAGTGCTGCCTACCGAGTGACCTCCAACACCCTGCGCATCATGAAGGTCACGTCGCAGGACGAGGGGCCGTGGCAGTGCGAGGAGCTCGACTCCAAATCCAGGGTCCTCGTCGCCACCAGGGCCGTCTGGATTGTAGTCATGGGTAAGAGCATCATTTTGCCCTCTTATTATGGAAATTAAGATTCACACATCAATTCATAAATTCATCTCATTACATAATAATAAGACCGTAGGGAAAGTAAAGATTATTTTAATTATTTAGTTTAAATTCACTCCAAAATTCAAACTGACATTCAAATTTTACATAACATGCCTGATTTCTGATTTAAAATCGAAATATTTTGAGAATAAACTTGATTTTTCAGACTGCTTTGAGATATTTAGACCTCAAATTTTTTTTCATAATATTTCATAACATTTTTTTATGGATTTTAAACATTTTCAAAATTTTTTATTTTGGCACCAATTTGATTAAAAGGGGAATAATCAATTTTTTTCACAAATCAATTCATTTTGAATGAAAAGATAATCAGAGCCATCATAATTTGGTTAAAATAAAGTAAAATAAAAAAATATTCTAATTTTTATGAAAATTGAACATTTAAAAATAATGAAAAAAAAGGTTTTTTAACTCAGTTTTACTATTTCCACATTTTCCGCGGCAATATTCGTCACTGTTTGAGCTTTTGAGCTGCACAACTGCTCGCGTGTAATTTGTTTGAAATGATAATTTGCTGCGAGGGCCAGATTACGCAATTCAACAGCGTGTGACTGTGCACCACTCTCTCGTCGCTTTTTACGACTTCCACTTGGGCGAAATTATTGCCGCGTTGATGTATCGCGAGGAGCCCTTTTCATTCCTCACTTTCGCAGCCACGCCTGTAGGCCGCCGGATAAAAAAAAATAAGCCATTCTTCACATCTCTTTTGCAAATTTGTACAATATACGCGAGCTTTTGGTGGCTACGAAACAAAACAAGCTCAGCATTTGCAAAACGGCTCCCCAGTTCGCAGGGCCAAAATGTCGCAGTGCGGCAGGAATTTTGCAAATTAAAAGTCGCCAGCCGTCGATATTTATATATAGAATTATGAACATGCGTGGAATATCTTTGCAAAAATTAAAAAAAAGAGCAGAGAGAAAACGTGTCGATCAATTTGGCCGACCGCGCCGCCCGCCTGGGGAATGCTGTTCGCTGCTCTTATTAAACTTTGATGGTCGCTCGTAAATTTCGAGCGGATGGTTTATTACGTGACGTTTTAATCAGCGGCACTGGACGAAACAAGAGATCATTTTTGTGGTAGGAAAATGGAAACATGTTTTCATTAAAAGAAATTTTCAGAGCAAATTAATAATTTTCAAAGTAAGAAAAATACGAAAGAGGACAAAAATTGGATAAACTATCATTTTTACTCTGAAAGATAAACATAAAATTTACAAATTATTCTTCAATAGTCAATACGATCTAACAAATTGAAAAGAACCAACTCTATGTTGATTTTTCTGTCTGCCTGAGGATAATTAACTGCTGTGTGTGAAATAAAATAATAGGACCTTTTGATTAGATTGATTGTGAGATAAAATAACTTAAATTTTTGCAATAATTTATCCCAATGAAATTGCCAAAAACCAAATTTGTCAGGCACATAATATAGCGCTCGTTTTCGTTTCCTATACTTTCCAGCAAAAATAAAAGGGAGCAAAAAGTCCAGCTTGTTTCTTTTGGAAGCTTAGTATCAAATTACTTGTTGAATTTTTAATAATTCCCCAATTATTTCCTTCAGAAAGATGCAAAAACTCATCACTCAGGCATTATTATTTACAAGTCGCATAGTTGAGTACACACAAATTTCCAGGGAAGAAAATAATCCAGCTTTTCACTGCATGAGCGTCTCCTAAAAAAACTTTGGTATCGACTATGATTCGATAACAAATTATTAGAAATTGAAAAAAAACGCTCAAAATTTTAAATTTCATGTTCGTGAACTCCTCGCCTCAGTATTTTTAACTGATTCTTAGGTATTATCAGAAGTTTTAGAAATGAAATAATATTTTTTAATAATAGTATTATTCCATTAAATGTCATGAGGGGCTTAAAAAAGAGAGAAATTGTCAATTTAGTTTAAATGTCTCAAATAATAGCTTTAGAACTCTACTAATATTCTTTATTAAAGTTCCACTGTGTTAAGTAAAGTTTGCTTAAGGTCGTTTTTAGTTGGAGAAAAGTGAGAATTTATGCAACAGTCATTGCCTTTTCCGAGACCATTCACAGCTGTTCAAGCTAGTTAAGTACTTTACGTACCGTCTTGGGTGCAATAATTCCGCCCAAGTCGCAAATTCAATCACGTGCTGCGAAGTACTGCAGTAAATTTCTAACTGAGCAAATAAGTCAAGCACATGAGTTTTCCCGCAGGCATCATCTTGCCGCGGCTAAATATTGCAGCTGCCGGCGATTCTCGCAACAAAGTCCCACACGGCCGAGGCGTCCGAGAGAAGAAACTCGATCGGCCGCAACCAGAATATCCTGCAATAACGATAAATATTCAATGCAAGGAAATTGTGCACACAGACTTAGCTCAAGAACGACCCTTATTAGCCGCCGCTTGAACGTGCAGCGACCGGAGTTAATGGCACCTTGGGTTGCAACTTCTGGATTCAATTACCGGCGGTTGCTTAACTTCTCCACAAATCGGGCTAATATGTTGTTGTTTGGAATCATTTATCCAACTCAATTAATTCTGAATTAGGAAGGAAACTACCTAATTAAAAATACATTAATTTATTTATTTATTTGGACTGTATCATTTTATAGTGAATGTCTGCATGAATTAATCTTAAATTTAAAAAGGTAAACTTTATTCAATAAGTAGAAAATAGATTGTAATAAAAGGTCAATTAAGATTATCATTATAACCGATTATAACCGATCTCTTCTGAATTATTTAAAATGTCGATGAAATTTATATTTAAATGATTCCGCTAACTGAAGATTTTATTTTGAAAATACTGAACACATTTTGATGGCAAAGTTCTATTGCTTTTGTATGATTCTTTTAAAATTTAATTGCAAATATTGGACTAGGAATCTTTTTCTGGCTGAAAGATTCAACCCCTCTCACAATCAGAAGATTTATTTTCTCAAAACAGAGGGTTTCAAATATTTTTGAAAGCTTTCTTCTGGCTTTAAAATTTGAGATGCTTTGGAATTCAGAAAAATATATTGTTTAATTAATTTGTCGATTTTGTTAACAGAAGTGCCGAAGGGCGCCTTCCTGACCATCGACGGCAAGCGGACGTCTGGGTGGCTCAACTCGAAAGAAGGAGCCCCTCTGAACGGTCGGTGCGTCCTAGACGGAGGCAAACCGGCGCCCACCTCTTACGAGTGGTGGATCGAAAACTCGGACGGCGAACAGGAGAGCCTAGTGAACGTGTCGTCAGGCGCCGACCTGGTCATCGACAAGATTTCCAGGGAGATGCACAACGGCACCATCATCTGCAGCGTCAACCACGTGGCCGTTGAGAACCCTATCAACGCGTCCACCAAACTCAACATTACATGTGAGTAGTGCACAAAAAAGTTTGTTTAAAAAAAAATGCAATTTGAAGAGAGTCGTGAAATTGGATTAACAATTAGCTCTATATTACATAATTTTTGATTGAGAGGTTGATAATAACTTCTTAATCAACGCAAATAAAAATTAAATTATGATATGGCAAATCTACTCCGCTTCATTTTTAGCAGTTTTTAGAATAAAATAAAATTATTTCTGAATAAAACAATTAATTGCAAAAAAAAAAAGTAAAAAATAATTATAAAAAAACTGTTTAGCTTCTGCAGTTATAATAGAAAATATTCCTCTTGAGGAAGGTAGCTTTTTTGCCGTTTAATTTAATGGTAAAAAAATTATCTTGTCTTTTTGCATCATATTTAGAATTATCTCCTTAAATTATTTTACTTAAATATTTAGGAACTAAAATTTTACGATTTAGAAGGGGTTGAAATCATATCTGACCAAAAAGGAAGTAAGAGATCACAATGGAAATAATTTCAAATTATTTTTGCTTTAAACTTTTTTTAATACTTTTCCAATCTTGTCAACCAAGAGTACCAAGACTTTCTGCTGCGCATAGGTTATTTTAAATTTTTGAAGCTTTATCAAATCGTTTTTTTTTCTTGCTATAATGTTGGAAAGTTTTGTTAAGCAATTCAATATTTCTCTCCAAAAATATTTGATTATTTTCGTTTTGATATTGTTTTTTTGTCAATAATATGCAGCACAATTAATTATTTTTAACACTTATTTTTTTAACATTCAAAGTGTTTTGAAACGATTTGGAGAAAAGGGCAACAAAGAATCATGAATAGTTTTGCTTTAAAATTAGAGGTTCTTAAATTCAAGTTATTTAAATGAACCAGGATATAATTCTATAATTTATTTTCATTTCCTTAAACTCTGTCAAAGCCTTGTGGACATTTATTATGAATATAAAGCAAAGAAGATCAACTCGAAAGTTAATTAAAGAGCGAAAGTGCATAAATTAAAATCAAAGGCAACCCTCAATTAACGGAAGCAAATATTTAATTTGGAGAGAAATATGTTTATTGAATAAAACATCAGAAGATGATTAGGCTTGGTCGCTTTGAGGTCTCGATCTGTTTGCTCTGCACCGCGCCAGGTCGCTTAGGCTGATAAGAATATATATTGACATGGTAACCTTGCTTAAAATATGGATGCATAAAAAGGTAGGCAGGCAGGTGTGCTCTGTTTTCCTCTCTTTCGGTATCGCGCAAACATTACACCGGTTCCCTTGGGAAATGTATCTCTTTCTCGGCGACGCATTTCCAGCCCTAAAAACTTATTTTTGAAATTTTCAAAGATACGCCCTCTCTGTCGTATTTCACGGCTTCTTTATCTGCACCGGAGTCGTCATCGAAAGTTTATAGTATTTTCCCCAAAAGCAGACGAAGTAAAGAGACTAGATGAGCTTTCAAGAAAATTTTACGCCAATTTTTTTTTTTTTTTTTTTTTTTTTTTTAAGAACCTTTTCCTTTTGAGAGAATTTTAAAGCTGGGTCAAAGTTAAGAGCAAATGAATATTAATGAGCTTTAAAGAGGGGTTTTATTAGATTTTAGATATTTTCTTTGAAATCTGACAGAGAAGACGAGTTTTTGGGCACTCAACTGAAGCGCTTCTTTTTTAAGAGTTCAGAGTTTGCCAAAAATAAAGTGAAGTAATAGTAAGGACTATGATATTTCAATAATTATTCCGATTCAAAGTTTCGCAGGGTTAAAGATTATCGTATTTATGAAGAAAACTTTAAAAATCATTAATATCAAACAAAAAATTAAATTGCAGAGACGCACTTGATAAAAAAAAATTGCTATGAACAGACTGGAACAGATCAATTTATAATGAAATTATATGGGATTAGTGCAGTGAATTTGTTTTTATATCTCTTTGTAAGTGGTATAATTCCTCCTTATATCAATTCCAAATAGGATTCCACTGGCGTTACCTTTATTAGACCCTCTAGGCTCCAATTTGCGCTTTATAAATATCAAAATAATAGATTTAATTTGTGAAAGTAAATTAGAAAGTCTTAAATTTTCATTGTGCAACCATTATTAAAATAATATTTTACTAAAATAACAACTGAAAATATTTTTAAATAGTAAAACAAATATATTTTTAATTTTATTTCATTATTTGACATTATATTTTACATGAATTAATATCAACTTAGTTTTTTGAAGCAAATTTAGTTTTTTTTTATTAACAAAAAGAGATATTAAAAATATTATTTATGTCTGTCTATGGTATCATTGAATATTTAAAACTCATTGAAGATACCTTGAATATTTGAAAGAAAAAAAACTTATGCGCTTCTTATTCAATATAAATAAATAAATTATGAAATTGTTTTGCAAAATGAGATAAAAAAAAATTATTAATAGATACAAAATAATGTACCGGCTGAGTTTGCCAATTAATGCAAGGAATTTAATGAGTCAAATGTCAAATTTCTCTTTTTCCTCTGTGTGTTTGTGCAAAGTAAGAAAACTGGCTGTGGGGTATTGGCGAACCAACGAGCGGATTTCGCCTCTCAAACAAATGATACACAAGAGAACGCAAAACCTACTCTGTGTGCGCCGATAAGTTTATTTTCGTGCTTTGATCTGCTCTTGTTTATCTTCCATTAATTAGTGTTTGCTTATTACGGGCTTGTTAAGCCGGCGCCGCCGAAATCGATAAATTCTGTTTGCCCGTGTCTGCGCGAGTGGGTAATAAAGATATGCTTGTAATGTTACTTATTTATTATTCGTCGTCACCGACAACCCTTTCAATCTCGCTTTATTCCTGTACGTGTCGCCCGCGAGTAATTGAAATTCCCCACCGACGGAACGAAAGCCAGTCTTCTTTGCGAACGTCAATATTGAATAATATTATTCCCGCAGCCAACTTTTGCAATATCGATTTGATTCCGCTCCACTGCTTTTAATTGCGAATGCGAGTACGCGCCCAGCCGACGGTCCGCGTTGCCAAGTCTGCGAATTTCACCCCTCGAGCTCAACTTTGCTGCCGCCACGCCAGATTAAACACTGCGAGCCACAAGATGTTTAATTTTGTCTTAATTCATAAAAGATTTCAGGCTATTTGTTGCATATCAACTTATAACTTTGGTTGAAAACATTTTTATGCATACACGTACTTTTATTTTTATTACATTTTTACTTTTTTGTAATGGAAAAAGAAGAAATAAGCATTTAAGGATAACAAGGTTGATTCAGATTGGTACCCAATGTTAAAAATTCCATTTAAATGTGGACACACAATTAAGTAGATTAAGAGATTCAAGCTGTGTGCAGTGGATTAATTAAGTGTAGCCCAAATCACTCTGTTGGTTTAGGACTCCAAAAAAATAAAAAAAAGTTTTTAAAATTCACAAGTTTGTAAAATTTAATCTTTAAAGACAGAAAAAGTTCTTGCAAGTTTTAAATTCCCAAAAAGTAAAAAAAAAATCCGTGTTAATCTTTTTCACCTTCTATTCAAAAGTGCTTAAATCCTATTTATAAACGCATAGGTAAGTTTGCTTTGCTAATATTGAAAAAAAATTGTTTTTTATATTTATTTTTTTAGATTTTAATAATATTTCTTAGAATTTTTTGAAATCTTTTGTTAAATATTACAAAAAATTTCACTCAAAATAAAGGTATCTTTTAATTTATGTCGACAAATTGTCAGCAGATGTTGCTAAAACAGCGTCACATTGTCCATTTTTAATGACCTGTCCCTACGAGTGAATGTCGCTGCTCTGGAGTGAAATTTCCAGATCGGTAATGAGCAGGGGACAAAAGTTTCGCGCGCGCCGAGTGCATCGCGCGTTAATTATTCAGACTCTCGACTCGCACATTATATAATCCAAAGCAAAGTCGAGTTGCGCGCCGATTGTTCCGAATCTGACAGCGAGGCCTCCCTCGCAGCAAACAAACACACACCCAAGGTACATATCTCTGTGCTTCCTCGCGCGAGCACCACTCTCGAGGAGAGGTGACTGTGTTTCATTATTTAGAGTCGGAATAAATCAACATTGCTGGCAGAGCAGGCGGAAAACAAGCGCGAACAGACGGAGGATTGCTAAAGTCGTCGTGGAGAGAGGAGGAGAAAGAGAGAGAACACCTGCCGCATGTTTAATTCATTTATTTCACGCCCGCCGCCATTCGAGACCGAAAGGTGTATCTTGAATGAACGAATCAATTTGAATATGGTAATGAGATGAGAGAAGGCCTTTCAATTTCCACTTTTATTCTTGACTGATTATGTTTCGTGGAATATAGCTCGAGGCTCAATATAGAAAGAATGAATAAAATTTCGTAAGATTATCCGAATTATTTGATATCAAAATTTCTAGGAAATTATTTTCAATATTTTTTTTTTAAATACCTTTCTGAAAATTTAATTTGATTTTTGCCAGAGGGAAAAGCTTGATCCTCTTTATATTATTCTTTTTCTACTCTCCAAAGCTTTTAATATTTATCAAATAAAACCAGTCTTTTTCCGAGAACCCTCTTTCTCTCTTCTCTGAGCAGATCTTTCAGTCAGATAATCTATATTTATAAAAATTCCTCGCATGCATATGCAGAAAGGAGAATTTAATCACGTCTGAATATGAAATCATTCCAGGTGAATACATTAATTGGACGGAAAATTCGCCGAGCGCTCGAGCTGGAAACGTTCCTATATAAAAATCCGTCCTTTTTTTTATATTCAGCGCGTGCATGCATGATGTGAATGCTGGGGCAAAAAGAGAAGGGCTGCGTGTGTGCAGCGCCGCCGGTTTAATACGCACGACGTCGACATCGGGCGCCCAAGTAAGTTTCCCACTCGCAGCCTCATGAATATTACATAACTCAAACATCAAGCAAAACCTCTTATTCACTTTGCTTCTACGTTCGTCACCTCGGTTTCCCTCTAATTTCAGCCGCAGCCAAACTCTCTTCAGTCTCTCAAATCTTTCCCAATATATTAAGTAAGGCACGTGCATTATTAATGAAATTCGGAGAAGCGGAGAGTGGGTTTTGGATTAATCTTGCTTGGATTTATGAAGTCGACGGAATGCTAAATCCAAAAATCGAGGAAAATTTTTATTTTCATCATAATATTTCTCTATTACGTTCTGGTTCTGGTGCTGTTTATTTCATAAAAAAATTTATCATGATCCGGGAAGTGAATTAAAGTAGTTAAATACATCTTGAACATCAATGTTGAAATTTGAAAGAAAAAAGCGGAAAAATATTAAATGAACAAATCCTTTATAAAATGGGATAAATCTGCTTGTTTCTTTAACTTTTGTAATTTTAGTTAAAGTTTTATTAAGTATTTTCATAAAAAAGATGTGCTTCTCACAAGGATAAAATTATTATTAGATGATGCGTGTTTAATTATTTCCAGACGAATCTTCCTCTAATATCTTTAGTTCTCTACAGTTCCTATTTTATTTATATTTTCATTTCTCAGTTTGAACATTGCATAATTTGCACGCGTCTCAACTTTTCACTTCCATATTGAATATCGCAATTTCTGCCAGGATAAATTCACTTATACACAAGCAAGTCTGGTTCACGCGTCATTAATTTGCCTCTCGGCAGCGGCGCTTCAACGCAGCTGCTCCTTGCAGAATCCCATCAGTCCGTCAAGATGAGTTTCAATAAAGCGCGCTTGGCAGCAGTTTCTCTCTCGACAAACTTCACATTGTGCTCAAGTTTAATGAAAACGCAGCGAAAATATCCTGCGTGTGCGTTGGCGTTGATTTTTTTCGCAGATTGATTGGTGAAAAAGTAAAACTTGCCAGTTGGCGATAAGAGGAAGGGAAAAAAACAAGTTCTCTGCTCCACCAACTCGGTGGAACGAGCGAATTCTGAAAAAGTCTTAATTGCCTGTAAATCAACAATTTTTCCCTCTTGCTGAGCGAGAGAGTGCAATAACAAAGTTCCATCGACGGAAAAGCTATAGGAGGAAAATCGTCTCTGCGACTGGCAAAGAAGATGAAGGGAAAAATTCAGTGCGAGCGAGTGACGGCAAAAGGCGGCTTCATCTCTTTTATTATGGCTCGCCTTATTTGTCAGCGGCACACTGGCTTTTTCCCGCCACCGTCTCTACTTTTGGTGTATAATAATATCAGACTCGCTTCGTATCTCGACGTTGGAATCCAAACGCGAATTGCGTCAATCTCAATTTGGAAAATTAAAGTGTCATAAAAACATTGTTATTAAATTTATCTCTTTAATTAAAAAATATTCTTCCTGAAAGAATAATTGCATAAATTTAAATTTGTATGCAAAGATTACTCAAATTTTTAACTATTTTGATAAAATGTAGACAAACTTAAATAGATGTTTCAAAAATTTTAGAGCAGAATAAAATGGTTAACTTAAATGAAATTCTTAATTTTAAGTTAACTAATACGAAAAAAAGAGGGATATCGAAGGAAATAATTTTTGTTCATTAAGATACATCAATGCCAACCACAATATAATGCAACAACTTTCAAAAATTATTTTTTTAATATTATCAATTTTGGTCGATTTGAAATATAATTATATTTTAAAGTAATGACACTTCTCGTTTACAAGCAAATAATGCATAAAATTGTATTTTATAATCACAATAATTTTAAATCGTCCAGCTTTACAATTAGAGCCACGATTTTTTTTTTAACCATTTCATATTGCACAATCGCAGGTTTAATAATTTAAAATTTAAAAGTGTAATTTTCTAGTGGGGCAGTGATATTATAGATGGATAGTAAATAAAATTGAGATTTATTTTATTATACGGAATTAATTTTTAAATTTGCTCTTTTTTATAATTGAACCTGGTGATTTCTGGCGATGGATATTATTGAAATAAAATCCTGTTTGTTTGCGACTAAAATTTAATCCAACCAGGTTATATAAAAAGCCAGTTTTTCGCTTCGTTATTTGTCAATATTTTTTATTAACTTTTCTCTGTTGACTTATTTACCAGAGCTGTAAAATCCAATTAATATCGATCCGTGTGTATTTGAAATTAGGCTTCGTCGGCGCGTAAGGGTGGCAACCCGCGGAAAGGCGAAAGCTGCCTGGGTTTTGTTTACACGCAGAAGGAAAGAGAGCGAAATTGATTTCGCAGCTCGCGCGCGCCACGTTCTGGAAGGCAACCAAAAAAAAAAAATACACTGAGACTGTTATTATTCCGTGGGAAATGATGAAATTTTTATCTGGCAATGGAGAGTCAATAGTTTCACGGCGGCGACTTGTGCAAAAAGCAGCGTCGAGTGGCAGTAAATTTGTGAAAAAGCTGTTGGCACAAGATTGTTTTCGTTTTTTTGCACACTCAAGTTTCCTTTTGATTGCTCCTGGCTTTTTACACTGCCTGCTTTTTTTTACTTTCTTTTTGATTAGCCGCGCATTCTCGCTCATCTGCGCAATGATTTCGAGAGTGTTTTCCTCTCCACAGGGAAACACACGCTGCCTTTTTATACATTGTTATTATTTTTTTCCGCCTCTTCCCATCTCGTGGGCGTTTTTTTTCGTCGACCTCCTGCGCATGCAAATTAGGTGAAATTTCGAGCAAAGTGAACGCGTGCTGTCAGAGCCCCGAGGATTTTTGCTACCCGGAAAAACGCTGTGCAGAGCAGAATGATACGAGCTTTTTTGTGTTGTTATTTTTTTTTCTTTCAATTAGTGTATTCTGGGCAACACGAAGGCTGTGTTTGCTGTTTCCGACTACGTTGAGCGATATAGCTTTAAAAATATTTAATTTGACCTGCAACGATGCAAGGTTATTTTGAAAGGAGCCTGACAAGTGAAGGACAAAATAATGAGTAAAAAATGGTAGGGAAATTTTCACAAAATTAATCTCAAATATTCTACTCCACAAAATGGTGTAGATTTTTTTTAGGAAAAATATTATTTGAAAAGAGTTGAAATTAAGGATAAGGGAAAATTGGTATCGTTGGAACTGATTGTGAAAGTCAACCAAAATGTACTTATTGAAGCTCAAATTGGAATTTTTTTAGTTTTAAGGAGGTAAAGATTAGAGCCAGTCTATTGGGAGAAAAATCACTTGCATTTTACTTATTGAATATAAAAATATTATCACTAAAATTCTCCTAGTTTAATAATTATAGCCAAGTTAAAAATGTTTCCTAAAAACGGGCTAAAAATAAAACGAGTTTTTCAATTTTTTTTTTTCACTTCAATTCACCTGAGTTGGAAAAACACCTCAAATTTCCCTTCTTTTTCAAAACCAAATTGTACCTAATCTTTTAAAAGAAACATGATGATTTGTTTAAATAAGATTTTATTTTTATAGCTCTCTTTCATTTTGGTACAGATATGGTTCAATTTAAAACATCAGAGTATGCGAAAGTTAAAAATATATTTTCACATATTTTACTGAAATCTCTATTTAATTGAATTCCTTCCAAAATAAGCTTCTTATATATTTGAATTTTCCTGAAATTCATCATCAGCCATTTTTTTTTTGTAATTTAGTTTAGCGTTGTTAGGCAACCGTCTGCGCTTCTGCGTTGCCCCGGTTGCATAGCTCTTGAAGTGCTTTAAAATTTGCTCCATTCCATTCTTGGAAGGGCTCTTGAATCAATGACCGAATTGCGTCATTTTCAAGAGCGATTCTCAAATTTCAATCAACACCACCGGATTTCCGGACAAAGCAAAGCCCTTCTCTGGCGTGAGCCGTGAAAAAGAAGGGCCGAGAACAAACAATGGCCGGTCGTCAGACGCACCTGTCCGTCGCCCAAGTTCGGTTTCTCGTGCTCTCTTCACATTGCTAATGACAAACGCCCACCCGGCGGCTGAATTTCCCTTTGTCTTTGTGCGATAATACACTTGAATTTGCAGACGGAGGATAATATTTCCCTTGTGCGTGTGTGTGTTTGCAGATAGCCCTTCGTTCGCCATAAGCCGGATTCCGGGCTTCGGTTTTCCTCTGCGCGAGGGCTTGGCAGTTTCGCTCAAGTGTGATGTCGATTCGAACCCGCCCTCCCGGCCCATCTGGATGAAAGGTAAGCCAAAGTCCTCCACTGACGCAGTGTGTCATTAATTTCCAAGCTCGTTTTTCACCGCCATCGAAACAATCCTCGCAGTTTTGACTAATTGCTGGCCATGTTCAGGTTTAATATAGAATGCGGTCATGAGTGCTCAAAACGTATCAGTCTCTTTGAATATTCCTTTGATTCCTTTTGAGTGCACATATTTTAGCGCAGAGGACGAGGAAAACGTGACCAGCACTATAGCCTAATATAATCAAATTTAATCCTCTGCATATGGTTCAGATTTAATCCTATTAAGACACGAAAATCAAAGCACGAAATTTTGCAGCTTAATTTAATTCAATTCTCCGACGCAAACAGATTATTGGAAGCAGGATTGCGAATCAAATTTTATGCTGCTGAAAAGAAAATAGAAATTCAAACGTTACATTACTAGAATTTAGTGAATAGGCAAAAGGTCAACTAAAAGTTATAAAAGCACAGAAATAGGTAAAAGCAAAGCTAATTTGCATTGGAATTAAAAATAAAGTATAATAAAGTGAAAATAAATTTGGGGATTTTCTTTTATGATAGATTTTTGGGAAGAATCCAATTTTAATACATTTTTAATCGCAAAATTTTGTACTGAACATCAAATTTTTTAAATAATTAGATCTGGGAATTTCTGTCTAAATCTTGAACCAAATAAGTAGTTGAATTCTTATTAAAAAAATTTAAATGATTAAAAATATATTTAAAAAAAAAATATTTATGTCTATCCATGTGAATCTGATGTGAATATATATAAGTTTTCTTTTATACTTTTATTATTGTTGTTTATTGGTCCACATTATTACAACACATAGTTTTTTTTTTACATTTTATATAATTTATTTAAATCATATTTATTTAACTTTTTGTTGAATGGAACTTTTTGGAATAAATCAACCGTCTTCAATTATTTTGCTGATTGTGAGAGCAAAATGTGGGAAATTCGTCAGTGCGTTAGATTTTAGATTGGTTCAAAATTGATTCTGCTTCAATAGCTAGTGAATTGAATTGAACATGGAACCGCATTTCCATTGATTTGTTTGGACAAAGGACCCATTCATTAGTTACAGCGCCGTCAACAACAAATTGTGCGCGATTGGCTGCAATTTGGGCAAAATTCGATTTGGCTGCCGACAGATAAACGTCAGCCGTTTCTCTCGCCTGCGCTTGTATCAACAGTCGTCGCACATTTGCCGAATCAATTACGCGAAACTCGGCAAAAAATAAATCCCCGCCGGTTTAATGGAGTCGGTCTGAACGCGCCATGAAGACAAGAAGGCGACCAAAACACAAGCGCCGCCGCGTCTTAAGTCTAATTTAGTGATCCTCGCCCTGGCAAGAACTTTTCCTTATCTTTTCTCGGCCAAATATACGACCCAATTCCCCTCTCCCGGCCGCTCTAAATGATGATCATCCCGTGATTTATGCCGCGGCGCCAAGATGAGGCGGGCGCACGCCACTGCCCCCTTTATCTTGCGACTTCCCATGTTTGCCTCGCCTATGGAGCCCAAATTTATGCTGTTTAACCGCATTTTACGCCGCATTAATATTTAAATTTAATTACTTATTCTGGAGAGACGCCAGCCAGCTGCCGCGGTGCGTCTTGTTACAACAGACGAGAGATAGAAATTATTATTGTACTGACCCGTCCTCAACAAAAAAATGTAAATGTGTTCAAATTTTTTTGTTTCATTAAGAAGGAAAATTTTCTCATTACAAAGAAATTATTTGTTTAAAAGTATTGCATTTTTTTTCCATAATATATTTTTATTTCAAAGCGTCACATCAAAATGAATTACTTTTTCTTTAAACACGTTAATTTAATCCAAATTATTTATTTACAATATTATATTTTATAACTTCTTAAAAAATTTCTGTCTGAAATAAAGCATACAATTTCTAGAAATTAGTAAAATATCTTCAACTAAGTAAAAAAATAACTAGATTTAAATTTCACTGTATGACATTAAAACTTTTTTGTTTTAATTCAATTTAAGGACAAGAAAAATTAAAAATTTGTTTGTAACATAAAAAGGAATTAAAGTCACAAAACATTATTCATTTTTTCTGGAGTTTATTTTTCATATTCCTTGAAAATTGCTATCAGATAATGAGTTTCATCGGTTGGCGGTAATCAGATTCAATGCAGAAAATTTTTCAATGACCTTTTAATGATGTTCAAAATTTGACATTTAATGTCCTTTAACATGATACTTATGAAGAGATTAAAAAATTCTCATTTTTTTATTGGTTGGAATTAATTTATTGTTACTTTTGACATAAATATGAAGTCTCATTTATATTGACATTTTTATCTATTAAAATTTCAGTACTTGAAGTAGCTGTGCAAATTATTAACGAGATAATACCAAATTTATTGAGTTCAAACTTCTAAGCTACTAGGAGTAGAATTAATGATCTTTATATTTAATGAAATTTTATTGCAGCTTTCAAATTATTTCGGAATTTAAAAAAATATTTACTATACAATGGAATTTGGTTGTTTGCCATTAATATTATGTGCCTTGCAAAAGACTGCTTTGTTGGAATAAACAGCTGCTAAATATATCTATAGTAAAGCTTCTTCACAATGCAAATGCCTGAAGGCTTTGAGGGTTCATAGAAAGTTTCAATTACATTGGAGCTGGTGTCCATTGTAAAAGGATTTTGAACACTAGAAAGCTCCCTCGTAATTGATTCCAATTCAATCACAGGGAACAAAGAATCTGTTTTCATGGACATAACTAATTCAAAGGTTCCTTCTATTGGAACAATAACAGGCTTCTCAATGTGCACAAATGGGTGAGCATAGACAAAGTTTGATGGGTCAGCTATGCAAGACTCCGAGTGGCTTCCGTCTTTGTTTCTCACAGTGATGGTAATGGTCACGTTGCATCCACTATAAGAGGGCATGCCTTTGTCAATCCTGCATTTTTGATTATGACGAAAAAATTAATTTAAATCAATCTAATTATTTCAATTCGGATTCACTTTACCAGTCTGAGAGCAGATTTTTTGATTTAGCATGTTCTTCAGGCACAACGTACTTTGGGGCTGCGCAAAAGATGTCAAATCCCTCAATGACAAGCAACTCTTTTGCAATAATACAGAAAGTAACATGTGTGTTTTGACGAAAAACTCTACATTTTTGAGAATACATGACTCGGCTACTAAGAAAATTTATGTCTGGACTAAAATCAAGAGAGAGCTCGACGTTGGTAAGGCCAAGGGAGGCAACTGAGGCAAGGCATCTAGTATCTGTTTCAGAACAAATAGTGTGAGGCATTTTAATCTCCTTTTCAAAGACGTTCACATGGCTGCATATGTTACTAAGGAGAAATTTTTTCTCCTTCTCTGTCAGCCACTCAGAAAGTATGGTGAGGTCGTCTTCAATTGTGAGCAGACGCAAACGTGGAATTGCAGCTCGAATTAGTGAAGAGCTAGAGAGGATGATTTAATTAAAATTTAGCAACTTTAAACCACAAAAATATTTGAAACCATTCAGCAGCTCCCTTTTGTTTTCCAATATTCACACAGGCTCTCACTAAATCAGATTCTGAATTGATGTTCATTTTGTCAAATGACAAAAATTCAAGCAGTGTTTCTTTTTGGATTTCAAGAAAGGTTGGGTGCTGCAAACACTCCAAGGTATTCTCACACAAAAACTGAAAAACAAGATCATAAGAAAAATATCATTAGTTTGTTTAAAAAAAAAATACCTTCTGGCAACTGGCAAAAACAAATTTATGCATCAAATTTTCCTCAAACAACTTCCAAACGTTTTCCTCGTCGAGCCAATGGTAGATCAAAGTGGAGGCAGTTTCGCCTAATTCACTCATCAGACATTCGTCGGCTGCCCTAGCCAACAACACCGAATCTTCCAGTTCAGTTACTTTGGTGTAAAGTTGATGGATGTGGGCAAACCTTGGCAGAAAGTTCAGAAATAAATTTTAATTGACTAATATTTAACTTATGCTTACTCCACAACCAGTCTAAAGATAAAAGGTTGAATGTGTTTGATTCTGACTGGCCCAGGTGGCTGAAAGGGGCTCCTGAACAGCCCCGCAAAGTACTCGCTGCTCGCGCACAGGTCAAATTTACTTCCATGAATGATCTAGAACGAAAAAGCAAAAGTAATTTATGTATAGAGCAGCACAATATATTAGGTTTTCTTCTTGTTTAAACTAATTATTTACACTGTGGCTTCTGTATCAAACAAGTTCTTATTTAATCACAAACGTTCTGACAAGAATAGGCATAAGAAGAGTTTCGAACACCGACATACAGCAATGCAAAAGAATTATTGAGTTTCTTTGTTTATTTAGTTTCTTGTGATCATAAAATTCAATCTTGCATGTATAAATAATGGAACGGAAAAATTCATGCACATAAAAGAAATAAACTGTGAATAATATGATGAAATTATAGCGCTTTTACTTTGAAGCTACAAAACTACAAAAATTGGGGAGAAAATCCCAAGAGGCCAGTTGCTTTTTGACAATACTAATGATAACAAATTTTAGATAAAATTTGGCGCTGTAAATTGCTGAATACATATGTACCTCAGCATTTTGGTCATCAGGGCCGACGAGGAAGACGCAGTCGGTTCCCAAGCCTTCCTTTAGGGCCATCAGTTTCCGCTCAGTTTCTCCAGGAAGCATATTTTTGTCCTCACAAGTCGTTTTTGATTCCATCTTGCGTCGTTTGAGTAGCAAATAATACATCTGCGAAGATGTGTACGAGTTGGGAGATCGACTGAACGGAAAACGGAAGGCTGAAGTGAAGAGTGAAGATGGTAAATAATCCGAAACGCGAAACATGAGTCGTGAACGGAATGCGGAATGTATGGTTCTGTACGTTATGATATTATAAAATGTGCACTTCGACCGGTGGACTGGGTCGACTGGAATGCGAAACGAAATGCGAATTGTGTAGGTAGGAGAACAAGTCCAGACATGTTTGTACAGGAGCGTGTTGGTATA